ATACTATAGTAGACTATACTATACTTTTCTGTACTATAATATATACTAGAGGCAAGGGGGATGTCGTTTCTAGGAATGATGCAGACTAGATGCAGAGCGGAGCCGGCCCTCGGCAACAGAGACTCAGAGTACAACTCCAGGCAGTGCTGCCATTTTCACTCCTGGGGATCATAGGCGTGCGGATTGTTTGCACGTTCCGACACCGCTTCAAATGAGCAGAACCATGTCCGTCCCACGGTCCTGCTCTTGGGGAATCATACTCACTGTCGGTGCCGGAGGATCAAGGACGTCTGGATGAGGCTGAGAAGCTGTACAAGGCCATTGAGTTTTTCCAGTGCGTTGCTGCATGTTCTCCTGCATTCGAAACTGTTCCAATACCAAGCTAGGAGCTTTCAGAAACTACAGCCCTGATCCCTTTGGACTCAAGAGCCCAGAAGTTTACCTGACATGCGGAGGGCCCTGCCAAGCAAGGCCCTCCCTTATCCACTGAGCCAGGCAGCGGCGGATGGCCGCGCACGGACCTTTGGAACTCAACATGCCTAGCGCCCGGTAGAGCTCAGGGCTTTTGCCTTCGTCTCCTTGAAGCTAAAAGTCTTAGGGTCTCGTGTTTAGGGCCTTGGGCTGGGATGCAAGTTGTAGGGTCCAGGGTGTTGGAGTGCCGTAAAGTTGGAGCCTTGGAACTTTGTGGACAGCTTTTCTCAAAGAATCCTTCATTAGCCCCGCACAAACCCCAAGCCCTCAGTCCGTTGATTCGGGTCAGTGTCGCATCTACATTTAGAGGCAGCAGTGGGTGCTGAAGACGATCTGTTTATCTCCATAGATATGCTATGCTCAGACTTCCCAGGTTATGCCGCCTCGCCTGTGCAGTAGGCGTCGGCCACGATGTTCACCCTTCCACCCGACCTTTCCTGGCCCGCCCCCGCCTTGAACGAAACCAGGAGGCCCTAAGTGTCTCGATTGGAGGGCAAGTAAGATTCAATTGCCGAACCCCGGTTTGGCTCGAGAAGTATTCCATCCAACGTTCAGGCGTTTACTTTGTGTGTTTGTCCGAAATCCCGACATTCCTTCGAGGCTGACACCCTGCAAGCGGAGTCGTCTCTCATGATGTGCCGCACCGCCATCCAGCAGGTGGGGTTGAGCCCAACGTAACCGTTCCAGCTGTAGCTACGAGACATCGTCCTGAGCTTACTCCGACACCTGCGACATGTACGCATCGCAACAGTAATCTCACGGGAAACAGTCGTGATCGTCATCACCAGCATCATCAGAATCATAACAACGATGTTGGTAAGAGGGAGTCGCAATGTACTGGACCACTGCGGCCAGGAGCTTTCGTAAGGAAGGCAGCCAAGCGTGTCGTTTGCAACTATGAGCTTTTGACCCTGCTGCAACAGTTCCTGAGAGTCCCGCTCATTGTGATAGGATTAACAAGATCAAACCTTCCTAGACTAACAAACCGGAGAAGAATTTTCAACTCTGTGAAGCATGCCTGCAGCTGCATCTTTCGGCACGAGGCGGCTGAGGCGAAGTAAGCGCGCACAGCGCAGCAAGAAAACGAAACATGCTTTGGTGGCTCGTTCGACAACATCCGAGACTATTCTTTTTTGCTAGCTCCATAAGATGGATGATAGCAAGGTTGCGAAAGTAACAGTCGGGTCAATCGTACTGTAGCTGGCACAGTACTACCGCATACGGCTCTAGTAGCAACCTCGACAAGAGTAAAAGCAGTTGCAAGCTGCAGAAGCAGCAGCAGTAGCACTCCGACTTCTCCTACGACTACTGCTACTTAAGTTCTTCCCGTACGAGTACTACTAGCAGGCAGCAGCACTCCTTCGTTCGCAGCTCCTGCACGCGCCACCAGGGCCTGCCTTAGATGTCATGCCTCGCTACAGTGAGGTTCGCATCGACCCCAGCTGGGTTCTGATTTTAGAAACTCGGACGATCGCTATTTCTTGTTTGCACCTGGCTCAGTGGGCCAAGTTCTTGGCAAACTTGGGATGCAGTGTTTCCAATGTCTTACCTTTCACCGTTTCATGGGAGTCTTGCACAACGACCATACGTGGAAGTGAGTTCGGGCCGCTCAGCAGCGATGGCTTTCAGGACTTCGCGCGGTCCTGCAAGAATTTCCCAGTCGTCTAGCTGTTTTAGCAAAAAGAGTTCTTTTCCCGGAGCTTCCTCCCCACCGGAAGCAGAGCGAAAGGCTTTGCGAAGCTCCGCTTAGTTGCAGTGCACTGGGTTTCAAAGTGTGCGGCGCAACTGCCAAGACTGCAAAGATCATCAAAGGCTGACCCGAGTCGATGAATAGGGCACATGAGCTAAATCATCCCTTGCAGGATATGGGCTGAAAGGCTTCGGGCGTTGGGTCAAGCAGCACGGTACTTCCTGACTTCAGCCACTTCGTCCTCAGCCACTCATGAAAACATCTCGGGTCCAGCTTGCTCCTTTACCCTTCGTGGCAGCATGCTTCTCCGATGGGCGTAAACAGCCCTCGGCATTTTTCCGTGCGAGTCTATTTAGACGAACTTTGGTCCCTGTATCGATGCCAGTTTGGGGCAGAGCCATCAAACACACGAGACATACTGACAAACTGCTGTTACGACAACCGTGGTGATCATGGCTAGCTGAAGATGACTCACCTTGCCTCAATCTGATGGGGACCATGTATGCATCCGACTTTCGAGGTACGTGCCTGCACGATTGTCTACAGTCCCTACATAGTCTAGCCTAGAATCTAGAACAGGAGTAAAACTGTGCTACAGCTGCTACTGTCACCGCCACACCACCACCGCCCCGACGCAATCAGTACAGCGGCCGGCGCAGCAGCTGCAACCGCCGCGTAATCAGCACGAACATCTCGAGCACCCTCGCCATAAGCACCATCATCATCAGCAGCATCATCGTCATCATCATCGTCATCATCGTCACCAGCATCGTCATGATGACCATGATCATCATTGCCGTTGCCACGGTCATGGTCACCATAATTTCTTGCCACCACCGGCAAAAAGTACACACACCCCAGCAATGCAACCACTGTCAGAACAACCACCGTCATGACCGCGACCACCGGCACCATCGTCATCATCATCATCATCGCCACCACTCTGTTCAATCTATTTGTTGTCTTATCAACTATCCCTTTGTTCTAAGTATTTGTTTTCTTCTCTTCTCTCCTTCTGTTCCGTCTATTTGTTATCTTATCCACTCCCTCTGTTCCATCTGTTCGTTGTCTTATCTTATTGTAATCTCATCTACTCCGCCGTTCCATCTGTTTGATTTTGGCAGTCTTTGCAAG